TCGAATGTCACCGAGGGCGTAGAACAAGGTGTTATTTTCTCACTCCTTTTGTTTACATGTTTCGAATTTCAGGCATTCTGATTGGTCAAGAACGCAAAATGTAAACAAACGCGCTGATTGGCTAACATTATTTGCCCTTGTTCAGCGTGTAGGATAGATCCGAATTATTAATTTATAAAACCAAGGTACACGCGTAAAGACGTACAAGTTGTTACAAGGTGTCTGTTAAATTCCCACCCTGTCGCAAGTAAAAAGAGGGATTGGGGTTTGCATTTACACGCGTAAAAACGCACAACTTGTCACAAGTCTGCAAACAAGTTGTTACAAGTCTGTTCACAAGCTTTCAACAAGTTGTCTTCGCACTGCTTGTTTCCAGTTGTTGTAAAAAGTTTGTAACAAGCTGTTAGCAACTTGTAACAAGCTTGATGGCACTAGCAGACTTGTTACAAGGTTGTTTTAACAAGTCTGATACAGTCATGATATAACAAGAATGTTACAAGGTTGACGACACAAGGTTGTAACAATATTTTTATATCATGACTGCGTCGGACTTGTTGGAACAACTTTGCAACAGGTCTAATAATATCAACAAGGTTGTTACAAGTTGTTAACAGTTTGTTCCAAACTTGTTGACAACTTGGGACAAGCAGTGCGAATACAACTTGTTGAGGGCTTGTTGACAGACTTGCTACAAGCTGTGAGATTCTTGCGTGCATGTGTACACTCAACTCATTGGCAGGAGTTTTAAAAAATGACAGTGACTAATTGAATATTAAAGTACAGTATGCTGACTCAGTGACAGTGACTGCATTGATAATTATGGTAGTTTGGGAAATTTGAAATAACTTGGTAAACTTGTCCATCAAGCTCGTTCTCCGAAAGTCTCACGGGTGTTTTATTAATTGTATAGAAACAGGGAAAATATTTTGAATTCTATTTCTTCATTTTTTGAAGTAAATACAAGCAAAATAAAATTTCCCACCGTATTATAACATGCATCAAATAGGGATTTCCCCCTGGCTGATTATAATGCTAAAATATTCAGAGTGTTTTAAATTTTGTTATGGAAACGCTAAAAATAACTATAATATTCAAAATAGCTAAGCTAATATTAAAAATCTTGCGAGCTGAGCTGGAACCAATTAGACCTATAAGGGTTTAAATTTTTCCTTCCAAATTTTGACGGTCTTGATATTAATTAGTTAACTCGTAAAGATGACATATTCCATATATATGGTAAAAAGGTAAAAATTGATCATGCATAACCGAAAAACCGCAGATAAGAAATAGAAGATAGACATAACGAGAAAGTTCTGTAATACAATATTTGACATTTTTTAACTTTTTTTCATAATATTGCTGACTAGTGCGACTAATATCGAGGAAATCGTTCATGAATGTCGACGTCGTTTAATTTTAATGCTTAAAATCTCGTCAGAAGCATCCATTCAATTCGCACAGGGTAAGTGTTTATATAGAGTTACAACACGTTACGTTTTCCACTGTCTATCAACCTCTGTATTTATATAAGATTTCTTCATCATGCCCACTAACTACACGCATGACATGACATTCATTGCGAGATGATCTAAACGGAGATAAACAACGATTTTGCAATTTATCTTGATCAGAACATACTGTATAGTAGTTAGAAGCAATTGAATATTTTATAATCAGCGGAGCTTTATAGCTGACAGCCTACACTGCTGTTGTTAGCCGGGCCTATGCACCGAAAATAACAGTGCTGTTTCAAATGAATATTTATTATCATTTCATAATTTCACAGTACAAAGTAGGGAAAGTGAGACTAACTCACCATGTTAGAGAGAGAGAGACGTTTAGTTCATATTAAGCTAATTTGGCACTAATACTGTATATTAAGCTTCAATTGAATGGCATTGATTATGAATGCATATTTGTCATCCATAGGCTTCTTTATCAGAACGGAGTGATGACATGGAAAGTTCTAGTATTTTTTTTCTCTCGAAAGGATTCCGATTAGCGACATGGCAACACTATTTTGTGTTGGACCCACATATTAAGAGACAGTGTCTATAAGAACCTCATGACCTCTTTAGATAAAAAATAAATTTCTCTCACACTTTTTTAGTTGAGATTGCCTTATATAAGGGTTGTTTCAAAATGCATCTTGTTTTCAGTCTAATTGCATTTTCGCAAAGTTCCAGGGGGATCAGGATGAGGGCTAAAATTATGATTTTTGCTGTAAGATTCCCAATAGTGGATTTTTACTGATTTTTAAATTACCTCTGTACATCAAACAAAAATAATGATAAAACTCAATCCTTCCCGACAATAGTAGATTTATGTGTCTTAAGTAACAAGGTATCTGTAAATGTTTTAAATCTGTTTTCTAAATATATAAATGACATCATTCATGACTGACTAAAATAAAGATTTCCAAGTTCCTTAAAAATGGGTGAAATAAAACCCCTAAAATTCAAAAGTTAGACTTGCCATGAATGTAATATTACTTGTATGGAGAGATTAAAGGTTGGTCTTACATATTGTAAAATAAAATATCGCGCCTGTAAATTTTGGTGGCCTACAAGCCAACAAAACATCAACATTTTCGACTTTCGGTAGTTTGGATCAAATAAGAATGTTCACCGTTTACTGTAAACTCAGTTTTCAAAGAACGAGATGTTACTTATTATTTCAGTCTAGAACAGTGATGGCCTTTACTGCTGTCTAAAGTCTTCTAGGGAAAAGCACTGACACAGGCATTTCCGTTATTTATGGACCGTCTATTTGTAGCTGTATATATATATATATATATATATATATATATATATATATATATATATATATATATATATATATATATATATATATATATATAAATTGATCGTCTCTATCGTATGGTTGTTGCGGTGATTTATCTGGTTTTTGGAAAGAGAGGATCCTAAAACGCGTGACTATAGTGATTGGAGTTCTGTTGCCCACGGAACCGCATAATACGTCCATTGACGTATCTTGTGGTTAAGTGTTGTCTTCCAAACTAACGTAATTGCTTAGTAATGCGTGGCTATAGAACTTTGCTTAGTAATGCGTGGCATGCATATATATACAATTATATTATACATTTTAATACCAATTAAAGTAGCTTTCGCGCGTTCTGATTGGCTATAGTTGACTAGTCAATCTAACGCAGTATTTACTAGCACACTATGTAGTAAATAATGCCATTCAAAAAGAATAATTAGGAAAAATTGGCTTCAAAATCGACGAAATATTTAAAAAATCGTCCACAGAAAACGCAAATTGTATTTCTCAATTTTAATTAAACTGATATTTCAAGATTTTGTTTTTCATCAATTCAAACTATTTTATACCAAAACAATTATTCGCCCCATGCATGCTGAGTGATTACGCTGAATATTCACATCGACTTTGTCTCAGTGAATATTCACAGGCAATCACTTCGTCTTCAGCGAATAATTGTTAAATACATACACTGTAGTGTGGTAAATACGAGATGAATAGAATCGTCACAACATAAAATTATACACTACAAGTTGATAATGTTCTAATAATGTTTTCTTCTGCTTCTGCTTCTTCGTTTGCTTCCGATCTGGATCATGTCTGTCAGCTGGTTAAGTCTCGTAATATTTGAGTTTCTTGTAGCTTTTCACTCGTTTTACTCGGTCTACGTCCACTGACTAGAGTTGGGCTAAGGCTGCTCTTTTAATGTTCATGATCGAGGAAAACTTTGTACATGTGACTGAAAATGTGGCATGATGTTGAATGAACCAATCAGCGTTCAGGAAGTGTACTGTTGAACACTCGTCCCAGCTCTCTGCCTCTGTTTATTTAAGGGGATCGGATGTCGCACTTCTCAAGCCAGTTACATGCTCGTTCAGAGACAACCTCGTACCCAGGGTCTTTCCTCTTGGAGAGAAAAGACGCTAGTTACGTGATCTGTTAAAATCTAGCAGATTTCTAATTAACTATTTTGAATTCCTTTACGACAATCATAAAAAATGCAAATTATAAATTAAACTATAAAAATCACCCAAATATCAAATATTTATTGACCTCATCTTGGATTGCTAATTAAAAGTCTGCTAGATTTTAGCAGATCGCGTGACCAGTGTCTACCAGGGTCTTTTCTCCCCAAGAGGAAAGACCCTGGGTACGAGGTTGGTTCAGACAACACTTAGAAATGCTCAAATCTCAACAAATTTAACATTATCTTATAGCAAAGATTTTAAACTACATGCATATAAACTTAATATTATGATTTATGCTGAATTACAAACAGAAAACGTAAGTAAAATTTGGTGACGTAACAATACAGCGCATCAATATGCAACTTTAAACTTCTGTATTTAACTCCGCAGGAAACCTTTTTGTCACGTGCAATCTTACATAATTATATGCCTAAGTACCTTATCAGTATGACCTTGAGCGTCAATAATTAACCAGGAGTGTTTATCAATCTGCATCACAAACTTGGTATATGAAAAACGTTTTGATCCTTAAAGGTTTTCGATACAATCTTACTATAGCACTTTCTGTTCGCATTTAATAAAGGAGCGGTTATTAAGTAAGTGTTATAGAGGGGCGGAGGCTGTTTTTAAACATTGCAAAGTGTTTCGTATCCCACATAAGCGTTCCAAATTTTGTTTGATAACCCCTCCAATTTTTGGAAAAAGATTTCCAGGATGAGCTTCACCTTTGAATTTACTATATGAGCAAATTGTTAAACACGTTCGAATTTATCAATATTATCAATTTATCAATACAACATGTAGGAGAAATCTATGTAAATACCTTCTCATTAGCAACATTAATAACTGGACTTCAAAATACTGTATGTTATTCATTTCTAAGGAGGGTTATGAAATCTTGAACATGAGCTCTACCTTTGAATTTACTATATGAGTAAATTTCAAAATTTTCAAAAAAAAAGTTTAAAAAAGTTTAAAAATGTTAAAAAGTAAAAAAAAATGATAAATTCTCGGCACCCTAACCCTAACCAAACCTAATCCCTAACCCTAATCTAAATTTTTTAAACTTTTTTGAAAATCTAACTTTTTTTACTTTTTTAACATTTTTAAACTGTTAAAACATTTTTAAACTTTTTTTTTGAAAATCTTGAAATTTACTCGTATAGTAAATTCAAAGGTGGAGTTGATGTTGAAGATTTCATACCCCACCTTAGAAAGGAAGAACATATACAGTATTTTGAAGTCCAGTTATTAATGTTGCTAATGAGAAGGTATTTTCATAGATTTCTCCTACATATTGAATGAGACTACAACGGGTTACACAAAAGAATATTATTAGAATCTCCTTATTTGCCCTCCATCTGCTTTTGAGTTAATTAAAGTCTCAGAGGATTTTTAAAACCCATTTATTTAAACTACCCGGCCGTTTAGATCTGTAAGTAGACAAAACCAGGTTTGTGAAATAAGTAATTACAGATAATTTACAAGACGATTTACTGAATTGTATCAGGAAATTCTGTTAGATTCGTTCTGGCTATTACACTACGCTGTAAAAACGTTTCTAGAAAGTTGCATTTTGCCGTCAGGTCGGACCTAATATTTTGGCAA